GTTGGAAATGGACAATTAAACTGATTCTATTACAACAACTATTTATTATAACAACCAACGGCTTTAAGGTAAAACAATGTCTCACATCAAAGCGCTTTCGTAAAATTAGGGCTAAGAAAGAGAGGATAGAAAGAGAAAGTAAAAGAAGAGAGGTCAGGGATAAAACAAGGCAAAAAAATAAAAATTAAAGGGTTTAATTTTGACTGACAAATGATTAAAGGTAATTGGTAATTAGGTTTTGTTTTAGTTGTTTACCTTTGCAATTGAGAGATAAGATTACCACAACAAATCAACTTCTGACATGTAAGTATCTTTATTATTGTATTATAAATGCATATTTCGCCATGGAGGATTTTTCTAAGACCAATAATAAGTCTGGAGTCAGGTCAGGTGACTCCAGAGTTTTTCACTTCATTTTCTCCGATGGAGCCTTACATTTCCTAATTTGTTAAGAATGGTTCTAAAGCCCATTTACTAAACTTTCCAAAGTAATTTTGAATCTGCTAAACAAAATTCTGTTTGAACCTGTGTTAACCTTAATAAAAGTATCAAAACATTTAAAGAATCTGACTATAATGAGCAGCCAACAAGCACAAATCTGATCAGTTGATGGATATAATAATGATGATAATAATCCTTGCATTTGATATAGCGCCTTATCATGTCATTGAGACGTCTCAAAGTGCTTCACAGAATATACTGTAAAGTGAATTGACTGTATATGTTGTGGGCAAAAGGGGAGATAGTGAGAGAAGGAGGTCCCAAGCACTGAAATCACAAATGTCACACAGCCATTGTCATGATCATTCAGCGGGTTCAAACCTCACTGGGAAATATAGCCCTGGATTGTGTCAGGCGGTTCAATCCGATTTGGACTTGGCTCCTCCAACTGTAATCCTACCTCTCCTTGTCAGGATCATTCTCACTCACATCAGTAGTCGTGTAGTTCCTGAATCTAATATTCCTGTCCCACAAATAGGGAGCAGACCAATTGGCGAAAGTATATGTTTTATCTAATTCTGTGGTTTCAATGTTTCAATGTCACAAATTGCAAAGATTATTGCAGTCACCTCTTACTCTACTGGTCTGAGGTGGTCCTGACTTACAGACAGACGATGCTTAAGCCTCTGGAACTTCATACGCTTTTTTCTATAAACCATTTAACTTATTTAGTTTATATTATCTGATGTGTTTTTGATGTCCAAAAATAGCTTTACTAAATCCTGTAGCTTAGTGGTTAGAACACTTGCCTCACAAGCGAGACACCTGGGTTCCATTCCCAGGCAGAGCGAAACTTTGGGCAACTTTCCTTATTCCACAGGCCTCTGTTTATCTAACACTAAGTAGAACCCAGTTGTTAGTCGATTTGCAGATTGCTTTTCCGGGGGTAATAATCCCTTAAAAAAATTGATTATTCAATCCATGACTGTTTGTGGGACACAATGGAAGTATAATTATAAAAAGCAAGGCAATTAGGACGTTTCAAAGAGTTACTGTTTGTTGTGGATTGGCTGTTGAGTTTCGCCCACAACATACACATTCAATTTACTCTACAGAATATTCTGTTGAAGCGATTTGAGAAGTCTCGAAGACTTGATAAAGGGCTATAACAAATGCAAGAATTATTATATTATTATTTATTAAGAGATTGGCTATGCTTAGGGGTGGCTCCACGGGCTATCAATCAATCAATCAATCCCTTTGCAGTTTAATTCACTAGTCGGTCTGTTAATGTTGTCAGGATAATAAAGTCGAGTGACATACAGCTATAGGAGGATGTTCAGGTGTTTCCTTACAGCCTGTAATATCTTGTCGGATCGGCTCCACCAGGCAACGTGGGTAGAAACTTTACCAAAAGGAAACAGGAGGTGAACGTTGAAAACGTACAAAATGTGCATATTTATAATCAAATATGACAGTTATTGTGGGGCAGAAAGACAGGTGGGCAGACGTGGTGCTAATGAACAGCTAATAAGCTCTAGCATTTACTTTACAATATGGAAACATGTTCACCTCGAGGTGAATGGTCAGTTCACATCCACTTGTGGCTGTGTTTAGATGTAATTAATGTGTGTGTGGTGTGAGGTGGGGGGGGGATGCTGTGCTTTGTTTACAAGTTGGTCTGTAGAATATTTAGCAGTAAACTCCTTTAGGCTTGCAAGCCTGACCCTCTGGAGACCCCTGAACTGATCGATTTCCCACCTTCTTAAGCCTTGTCTCGGTAGATGTAATCGGATCTGGAAAACGTGGGGCAGGCGGACCATCCGGCATTTTCCCATCTCAAGCCTTTCCAACAGGTTAGGTTTCTGTGGGCTGGAAGTTGTCATTCTCCAGCATTGCTTTTTTTTGGGGGGGGGGGGGGGGCTTTTTGCTGTTTCAGACTTGTTTGATTTCCCACTCGCCTACAAATGCAGACAATGTAGAAAATTGGGATCCCTGTAACCTGCCTCTGTCCTCCAGGTACTAACTCACTGGATTGAGATTCAGATCAGACCTCCAGGGTGTGGGATTTTTTTCTTCTCCAGAAAACAACTCACACCCTAACTTGTAGTAAAGTACAGTACAACTGAGAACTCTCATTGTTAAGATCCCCTCATAAATAGAAATAATTTCAACGCTGCAAATGCAAATTAACTGTATTCCTTGCACTATTTATCCTCACGTGCATTCACTAAACTCAGTTTTATTGCCCCTTTACAAAATATATATATATAAACTGTCAATTAGCCTACAAAACACACAGTCAATACACTTTTCCACAAACCCTGTGAAGAACTTTGAGACTTTCTCCCGAGGTAACAGGCGCTGCATCAAAACTAGGATTTGTTATATTTCACTGTTATTATGTCGTGCAAAAAAAATCTTTTGTGTCTGAGACAAGTGAGTCAATAAGCTTTCCTGCTTTGTCCAGAATAAAGATTATTTATCCAAAGCAAAGTGAGCAGATACACATTTGCCCGACACGTGTGGACTGATTCCTCCGGCGCAAAGTGGTAGATGTTTGGCGTTGCATTTTTTTAAAAAAATATATGCACATTAAATAAAAAATTTTTTTATAAAGGATCCAAATGAATTTTGAGATCCAAGTAAATTTTGGGCGTCTGCATTGGTCGTCACGGTGCTCCCTGACGCTTTGGGTGGATGTACTGTGTGTAAGTGCAGAGCAAAACTGTCTATTGCACACAAGGACTCAGCAGAAGGTGAGAGAAAGAGAGAGAAAGAAAGAGAGAGAGAGAGAGAGAGAGAGAGAGAGAATCTGCCTGAGTGACTGATGGTTGTGCTGACACACTTCCAAGTTCTGTTGTCACCCAGAAATGCGACAGAATCCCTCAAGTTCCCTTCTTGAAGGAAGCAACAAGAAATAGGAAGTGCCAAGTCCAAAATTCGTTCTGGGTCGGTAGGACCTGTAACAAGTGTTTACAGAAATCAATCCATCTCCCCATAAATCTTCGGGAAGAGGAGCCTGCAAGCCTCACCTGCACAAACAGACCAGCCTCCGTGTCTACAATGTGCAATCTTCACAAATAAAGTTGTTGGGGTTTTTTTTGCAAAAAGAATACAAGTTAATAAGAAAGTGACAGAACGAATCATTTGCCAATAAATCGCTTTTTACACTCAAACCCGCCGATGATCCGCAGACTGGATCTAATGTGATTATAGTGATGGAAATGCATGTATTTCACTTGTGATTTCGCACGATCTGACGGAAATAACGGGATACAAAATAACGGTGCGAGTTAGAAACCGACTGTCGTTGTTTGAGCATCAACGAAATAATGCAATCATTCTCATCTACACACCGCCCGTCTGAGTGGAAGGAGATGTAGACTTTTCTGATCTGTGCATAAACTCCTCACCAGTGCTAAAGAGATTTGCTTTGCCGTCCTATTTTCCCAGGGGTTATTCACGTTATTGGGGGAGATAAGGGCAATGATCAAACCCACATACAAGATGGGAGGGAGGGGGAGGGACACAAAACATCACGAAATAAGTTAAGTAAACCAGAGAGCTCTCAACCACAACCCTGTAACGATGATGTGTGTTAACCAGAGAAACAACCTGAGGGTTGACGATCTATTGAAGAAACCAGGACAGGGCTATATATATGACTTTGTGTGTATATCAGCCCCCAGCTTTCAGTCAAAGATCCTGATTTTTGAAAACATGTTGTGGACACACATATATATATATATATAATATACACACATATATATATATATGAACTTGTAGCTCAGTATTGCAGATAGTTAACGCCACATTATTGCTCAATTTTACTTCTTGTGTTTATGTATTAATAATAATAACAATCCTTGCATTTTATAGACTTTATCACGTCGTTGAGATGTCTCATAGCACAAAAAAACTGTAAAGTGAATTGCCTCGACATTTTGTGGATACATTGACAAAATACATTCACATCTATTGCGGGTTATTGTAGATGTTATTGCAGTAAGTTTTATTTATTGGGTGTCGGTCTTAGAAACCCATTAATTAAGTAGTGGGTGGAGAGATGGGAACCACCTGTCCTCCCCTCGCCAGGAGGATGCTGTGGCTTGTGGTCAAAGCAAACTAACGGGACCTTTAATAGTTCTTTATTTAACACCAATTGATCCAGAGTTTCCAAGTCAGGTCCCAGCTCTGCTGGAAGCTACCATCGAGGAACGGGTAGAGAACCCTACACCATCCATCATACATTCAGGCTCCTGCATTCAATGTAAAAAAACAAAACAAAAGTCACAATTGGAAGGATCAATAAACGTTATTACCTTTTAAAGAGGCTTAATCTATTTTTTAGCGCTTTTGTCCATTGGCTGCCATGGTGGACATGAGCCCATGTCACCCCTCCTTCCAATGGTTACATCCACATGGAGTGGACACTGGATACTTTCTGTTTCAAAATGATAGTAAAAGAGCATCCAACTCACTGGGAGGTGGAGTTTATATTCTTGACAAAAGGGAGTTTTACGTGTGTGATTTTTTTTGGGGGAGGGAGGGTGGTATTTAATGGGTTTGAGGGAGTAAAGGGCTTCTTACTCGAGATTCAGTTGCAGAGTCTGGAAGGTCGATGCACCATGTCTACCGGGTCCATCAGTGAGTGTGAGGACATGCAGGCGATGGAGATCCGAGGGCTCCTCCTGCAATGCAACGGCTTGAAACACGAATCCACCGACGCCGATTTCTACAGCTCGGCCGAGAATACCGAGGGGTCGAGCTCAGACTGCAGCTCCAAGAGGAAGAGGCCAGGAGGGAATGCCAGGAAAAAGCAACTGGTCAGAGCCAGAGCCAGAGGCAGATCCAGAGGCAGAGGCAGAGCCGGCAAAGAGGAGAAACAGTCACAGAGGAACGCTGCTAACGCCAGGGAGAGAGCCAGGATGAGGGTCCTGAGCAAAGCTTTCTCCAGGTTAAAGACCAGCCTTCCTTGGGTGCCACCAGACACCAAGCTCTCCAAGCTGGACACCCTCAGGCTGGCCGCCAGCTACATCGCACATCTCAGGCAAATATTAGCGGACGATAAATACGAAAATGGATACGTCCATCCCGTGAATCTGGTAAGAAAAAAAATTGCGGATAAGTGTAAATGTATAGTATAACCCACACTGGTGAGGTGCAATCACCCCAACGACTTCTGTACGCTATAGATATATAATATATATATATCATGCAAACTGAATTGTGTATGTAAAACACTTAGGAAGACACCTGACAATGTTCTTGGTCTATAATGTGAATGTCACGTTCTCAGTAGCAGTTTAACGGGTAACCAGCAAAGTGGACGTTTGCCCAGAACAAATCTTAAATCAACACTAAACGATGGGTTAATTGCGACATGAAACGTATTTTTTTTCATAAATTAAGACGAATATAAGACAGCTGTGTTGTGCCGTTTAGTGAGACGTGTATCCCTGAGGCATAAATAATAATAATAAATAATAATAGCGACAACTCACCATTTGATGTCATCTCAGAAATGGACAAATACATCATTATTGGTTAGGTTCCTTTAAGTAAAGAATGACTTGATCCCTCAATAGAAAAAGTATTAACTATTTATTACAATCACATAAACAGTTACCCAACTCTCCGAATATCAAACCGATTTCCCAATTTGACAAGTCTCATACAAATGAAAAATTGGTAAAAAGATGAATGCATTCTCTCTTCCCCCCCAGAAAAAAAATGCAGAAATGTTATTATTTTCTAAGACAAAAAATACCGCCTTCAGTAAAAAAAAATCTGTATTTTCCCGATAATTGGGAAATACGGAAAGCTTTCTTTCGCCTGTTAGTAAATCTTGATGGTGCAAAAGTTAGTTCAAGTAGGTTTTAACGAGAGACCTGAGACCAACATACAGCTGAAGGGAAGAGATTAGCTTCATCTCTCAGATACCATTCAGGTGACACTTCCTGGTGTAAAGTGAACCTGGTACTTACTATTTTGTACACTTTCCAAATGTAGTTCTTCCGCTTGGACAGGTTTTTTGATATCACTGAGACTCTGGCAAAGGTGTCTGCGTTACCATCTCAGCTTCCCCTCTTTACACACAGTTTAAACATCAACACAGGAGTAACATCAGGTGAATTAACCTTCTGTCTCCAAGAACAATTGTACCAATTCGTGAGTTTCAGCCTCGCCAATGTTGGTGACACGAACATATTTCGATTTTAGCTGCTTGAAATAAGCACTTTGCAGATGAATCTTCTTTTGTAAATTCAGTTTGCATCACTGACAAATTGCTCGAACCTAATGTGCGTCTGTCGTCCATGGTGTTAACACGAAAAAAAGTGGTTAACTGGAAAGAATTAATGACAACTTTGTATCTGTTTGAAAACAAATGTCAATGATACTTGGAGAGGGTAGTAAACATTTATAGTTCAGTATAAATCATAGGAGTAGATAGCAACTTTAACATAGTACTTACCAGGGATCACTATTTCCAAATCAATCACATTTAAATATAAGCTTTAAAATACAAATTCAGCATATGTGCAGCTTCTTAGATTCAAAAATGTTGTATGACTTTATATGCAAATCTGTTGCAAGTTGAAGGATAGTTACAATAGCTGGGACCTTTTAAAGTGTGTACTTTATTTTAGTTGTGCAGTATTGGTACTAAACAATTTCAATCAAGCTTCAAATCTTACAGGAATGAACGCAGACGCTTTCTGGAATTGTGTTGGCAAAAGTCAGAATGTGATTCAAATAGCTGAACACATAGTTAATTGTCAAATGCAGTAGTTTTTTTTNAGGAAAAACGCTTTTTTAAAAGAGTTTTTTTGATAGATTTTTAAAAAAAATTATAGTTTTTTATTGCAAAATCAAGAAAAGTTTCAAAAGACACAGAGGTTTTATTTTCTTAAACAAATGAGAATCCCATTGATCAGGCATGAAATATGCACATGTAAATTGGAAGCAATAAAAGGCTTTTACCAAGTGGGAAATTATTTGATGATTGGAATTCCTTTCTTTTAATTCAACTTTTAAAATACTAAACCTCGGTGATTAGTTTTAACAAAATGTCACAAAAGTTTCCCTCTATCAAAAAAAGAAAATGCATTTCAGAATGTATGTCGTAATTATTATTATTGTGTCGTAATTATTATCTGATGAGAAATGGTTGCTAGCTTTCAATGTGAATCATTTTAGTGCTAACAAATCATATGATCATTCCTGTGGGATTTGCTACAAAATATCACTCTGATCTATTACTGCATTCCTATACATTTAACACAGTGTAAATCTCCTTCAGAGATTTCTACATAGCTATAGACAAAAAATATGTATTTTGACAATTGCATACTGCATTATTTATGATTCATGATATTATTTACCTCAATATTAATATTGTCTTTATTTACCAATTGCGTAATATCAAATTTACTGGATACAGCACATTGATGAAACATATGTCATTCTTGTTTAATATTTCACTCTTTATTTGCTGAATGTTATAGTTCATGAGTTTTGATACCGAATAGAAGAACTGACCAGAATGTATAGGTAAATTTGTGGCAAAAAAAACTTAGCAGCTTTATTCCAGCGCTTTGAGAAGTCCTTCCGACGTGAAAGGCGCTATACAAATGTAATTTTGTTGTTGTTGTTGCTACAGTCATTTTAAAGGTGTTCACTAGTTGATATGAATGTTAATCAGAGCTAATAAATGCTCACATACATATTTCTCTTTCAAACTTTATTTTTTTTAGACATGGCCTTTCGTGGTGTCAGGAAGACCAGAAACAGACAGCAAAGACCTTGCTGCCACTTCCATCCTGTGTGGGACCACAGTATAGCAGCTTGAGGGAGCTCCAGGAGAAAGCCTCGGAGAAGTGGGTTCAAGGAATTAGTCAAACTGTTTGTGATACAGTGTGAACCAATGGTCCAGTCCCAGCACTGTTCCGATCCCAACAGTCCTGCTGCCTTCTCCAGCTGTTGTTCATCAATTTTTTTCATTTTTTAACCACATACTTTGCAGGACGAACCTCTGTCACAGTATTTTGAACAAAAGGAAATTAGGTGTAAATACACTATGTTGATGCACTGACCTCTATACTAGCAGAAGTTTAACACAAGAATGTCTGGTAATTGGGAGATGTACAGTGGATACTTAATGTGGGCCATGTATGAACATTACTGTATGCAGTAGAGTCTATAATCCACACTAATTGGGATTGATCTTATGGATAAGCAGATACTGCAAATAATTGGACATCACGTAAACTGCAGATATGGTGCTAACTAAAAAAAGTGTTATATCAGGAATTATGCTGACACTTTATATCATACTAAATATTGTGCCTGCCATTCTCTTCCACTCTTCTCTCTCCCTTTGTCTTTGCTTTGTCTCTCTCTCTCTCTCTCACAATCTCTCTCACAATCTCAATCTCTCAATTAGCTTTCCCCTCTCATTATACCTCTCTCTTTCTCTGCTTCTTTCTCTCACTCTGCCTCTGCTTTCACCCACAAATATAATCAATTCACTTTACAGTATACTCCGTGAAGCTCCTTTGAAATATCTAGAAGATGTGATAAGTTGCTATACCAAATGCAAGTATTATTATTACTTCTATCTCTCTGTACATAGAATCATAGAATTATACAGAACAAAAGAAGGCCATTCGACCCATCGTACCCATGCTGGCTGTTTGAAAGAGATATCCAGATTAATTCCATTCTCTCTATTCCATTCTCCAGTCCATAGCCTTGCAAATTTGTCCTCCCCAAATATCTATCTACTCTCTTGAAAGTTGTTATCGAATCAGCTTCCGCCATCCTTTCAGGCAATGCATTCCAGATCCAAACAACTTACTGGGTGAAAAAATTTCTCCTTACCTCCCCTCTGGTTCTTTTGGCAACTATTTAAATCTGTGTCCTCTGGTTACCAATGCACCTGCCAGTGGAAACAGTTTCTCCCTGTTCACCCTATTGAATCAATAATTTTGAACGCCTCTATTAAATGTTCCCTTAACTTTCTCTGCTCCAAGGAGAATAATCCTAGCTTCTCTAGCCTCTCCTCATAACTGAAGTCCTGCATTCCTGGTACCATCCTGGTAAATCTCCTTTGCACCCTCCATTGCCTTGACGTATATAATCTCTCTCTCTCTACACTGAATAAAAGTGTTGTAAATATAAAACCTTACTTTTGCTACAGCAAAAAATATTATTTGTATTTGTAAAGTTGTAAGCATACAAACTAGATCTCTAAGAGAAGCCCCTAGCAACCATATGCGTATGAGTGCACATACACAACTTACAATTTTTTTCTACCATCATCAAATCTCCATGTCTTACTTCCACAATGAAGCTGTATGCAGATAAAAGGGCATGTGAACACCAAGTACTCTACTGTATTCCTATTATAAGGGTATCTACAGGCAGTGACTGGTGTCAGTGGCAAAGTGCAGACACAACAACAATAAATTTACATTTATATAGCACAGTTTATGTTGGTAGGATGTCCCAAGATGCTGGACAGTACAGGGTTTGCATCTGATGGGGCTGAGGTTGGTGGGGTTGAGGGGGGGAATGATGACTGAAAGTGTAGTCAAAAACGGATGTTTTGAGGTGGACCTTGAAGGAGGCGAGGGAACAGGCAAGGAATAGGGATGCCAGGATGGAGTTGTGGCAGAGAGTGGGGGCAAATACGCTGAAAGCCCAACCACCAATAGTGGGTTGGGAGGGTAGGGCAGGCCGGTACCTGCTGAGTGGAGAGGGTGGTCAGGTTTGTATGGTTTGAGAAGGTTGAGATCTGGTGTGGGACAAAACTCTGGAGGAATTTAAAGGTTAGGACAAGATCTTGAACTCATTCTGCTGATGGATGGGAGCCAGTGGAACAGACAGGGATGGAGGAGATAGGCTCGCACAGCCTAGTGGGGGAAAGGTCACGAGCTCCAGAGTCCTAAACACACTAAAACAAGTTCAGTACAGAATTTATTTTATTTGGAGAACTGGCAGTATTTACAGTTGATGTATAAATTGTGAAAAAAAATGAAATACTTAGAACAAGTTGGCTGCTGCAGTGTATTGTTTATTTTGTTTGAAGCTTGTATATTACAATGTTAATCATTATGCCGAGCACTATTCGTTTTGATTCAGATTTCTCTATCAGTGTTAGTCACACAGCTCTTACCTGTTTTTCTGGGGTTACTGCTTACTCCTTTTGATGTACAGTTGATTTTTAAAATGCTTTTTTTTTACAAAATAATTGTCGTTTATTTTTTAAAAGTACTTTTATAAATGGAAACAATAGCACTTTACCTGTTTACTATCAAACATTGTTAATTAAAGGGTCTCCCGTGAGAATGAGAAATTGATTTAATATTGTTCTACTAGAATTGCTCAACTCCAATGGCAATGTTACAATGTCGGATGAATTTTGAGTATTTAGAGCTAATTGTAAAGCAAGTGTTTGCAGTTTGCAGCTACCTTCTCATCCTCAGGAAACAATTCGTTCATGATTCTGATCTCTTTTTTCTGAATGTCTTTGTATTTTTACGATGAGAATAACTACTTGAGGAAATAACTACAGTGACTGGTAAAAAGTTTTACCTTTTACCAAGGAGGTGATGCTATAAATCACTTCCACCTGTAATTGAAGTGATAGGTAGAATATATAGTAAAAGACTAACCCCTTCACCAGTGTAAATGTGTATACAAGTCTCACTTGAGTTCTGCTGGATATAATACGGTGTCCTGAGAGCTTTATATCTGACACACACATGAGCTTAGATCGTTGGAGTCCTGTAGCTCAGTGGTTAGAGCACTCGCGTCGCAATTGAGATTCCCGGCAGGGCGAAACCTCGGACAAATTTCCTTACTCCACATGGCTGATAATAATTCGTAAAGAAAAAAAAATAATTTGGTCACTCAATCCACGACTGTTTGTGGGACGCTGCTGTGTGCGATTGGCTGCCGCGTTTATTCTGTGAAGCACTTTGAGACATCTCAAAGATGTGAAAAGCACTATATCAAATGGAAGGATTATTATTATTTTTATATTATTATGCTGCAAGGTGGTTTTATATATAATTTAACTAGTTTCACTGTGTTTCTCCAGGACAGAATACTCCTGCAACAAGCACCCTGATGTATATCCTGGCACCTATGTTCTTTTGTGCTGCTTGACAGTGTACTTTGTACATAGATACACCATCCTCTCAGACACTCAGTGACTCAATTGAATGGACACCAATGAGCTGCTCTCAGAGTTAGCAATGGACAGTTGTAAGGAAGCTGAAAACATCCTATTTTTGGGGGGTTTCTAATCAAAGTAAAATGTGCACTCAGAGTGTTATCATCCATGGGTTAGTGACAGAAAAGAGCTTATCAGCACCTTTAAGTGTCACTGGGGTTTGGATTCCAGCATTAACACATCATACATACACTTTAGACCGCAGACATAAAGCACAGCATTGCTCAGCTTCAATGCAATCGAAAGCGACAGTGCTATTGGGCCTTTCTGTTCACATCTCTGTGAAATTTGTCCCATCACCTCACTCCTTGGTGTAATATAAATTTGGCATTTATTTTTGTTAAAATTCCAAATAAATACAAACTAATTCAAACACAGTTGAATTAGACCATATTGGGTCTGACATTCTACTTTGTTTCTGGCTTTAAAATCGCTATTGCCTTAAAATATAAGATTGCTTGCTGAGAATTGGAGAAAAATCCTGGATTCAATGTAAATTAGAAATTGATTATTTTTTGAGAGCAGAAAATGTTTTTCAGAATTAAGAATGAACTGAAAATGTGTCCACAACGCTGGGTGATCTTACATTTTAACACAAAATAGTCATACTGGTGTAAGAACTGGTATAATTATGGTCCTACATAAACAGAAGCGTTTGGTGAAAGGATTACTTTGTAAGGAGGACATTTGCAGCCTATTTATGAACTAAAGTTGTTTTCCAAAGTAACATTTAATGGAAATATCCAACAATTAAACTCTAATACATCTGTTCCAATTGTTCTGTACAAGTCCTCACTATTACAATTGATTTCAGATAATAAAGAGATTGTCAATCGCAGGTTTACATTTATTTTGTAAATGCTTTCTGGTAAAGAATTTCCTAAATTAAGCACCTATTAGTGCTCTGCTATTCAAAAAAATAAATTTATTTTATTACTTTGTTTAAAATATTTTACCAGAGTGTTTTGTTTTCTTTGGCTACAAAATATACAGTCACTATACTCTATAGTATATCCTCTGAAGCACTTTGAAACTTCCTCCCGATGTGAAAGGCCCTATATCAAATGCAAGAATTATTATTGTTGGAATGAAGCATCTAACTTGGCGTTTGATGGAACCTCAGTGCTTTGCAACTGAAAAGAAATAAAAGAATCACACACGAACACACAAACAGTCATACACACACACACATATATGTGTATATATATATAATCTATATTTATATGCACATATATTAACAACTCCACACACCTCTGTTTACCTAACAGTAGGTAGGAACCCAGTTGTTAATCGATTGGCGGAATGCTTTTCTGCAGTAATAATCCCTTCAAAGAAAAAAATAGAATAATTTGGTCACTTAATCTAAGATTGTTTGTGGGACATTGCTGTGCGCAACTGGCTGCTGCGTTTCGCCCACAGAACATTCACTTTACAGTATATTCTGTGAAGTGCTACAACAACAACTTGGATTTATATAGCGCCCTCCACGCCGGACGGAGTCTCGGAGCGCTTCACAGTAATGGATCCCGGGACCGAGACAGGGGGAGGAGGAGGAAGGTGACCAAAGCCGCGGTCGAAAAGAAAGGTCTTCAGCAAAGACCTGAAAATAGGAAGAGAGGGGGCGACGCAAAGGGAGTGAGGAAGGGAGTTCTAGAGCTGAAGGCACGGCTGCCGATGGTGGAGCGGAGGACTCGGGAGACAAGGTAG